CCATACGGTTGTTTTGAAACACTCACCTGCAGGGAGGACGCCAAGTAACGACTCCACCGTCCTCGATGCATCCGCCTGAAGGCTGATTGGAGATCAGTTTTGTGTCAGTCTGCTGTCTCCATCTCAGCAGGGCCATCCAAGCGGAACAAACCTAGTCAATGTGGTCTGTTATCGCTCAAACACACCTGGCCTGGCAGCGTCACAACTCTCTGTGTGTGTGTGCGTGTGTGTGTGTGTGTGTGTGTGTGTGTGTTTTGTTTTATATTTACTCCAAATATTTCTACAGGATTAAAAGGAAAAATTGTGATTTTGACGCATTAGAAGACATCATTTGAAATGTCTCTGTGATGATTGAAGTTAATGCTCCACTTGCTCACTATGATGACAGATGGAAGTCTAGATAAAAGCATGAAGCCCTCAGTTTGTGTCATAGTTGCCCGTGGAGCTCCAAACTGAACGCTGTTTCGTTAGCATTAGCGCTCAGCACGGTCATGTTCCTGCAGGACTGAGCTGTGAGCTAAGGGAGAGGAGGAGACAGAAAATACAAGGGAGGGACAGTGCTAAAGTAAGCGAGACATCTAGAGGGAGGAGGGCAGAAATAATGAGGCATAAAGTGAGAAGTTAAGAGGGTTAGATAATGAGAGAGAGAATAGGAGGGATAAGGGAGAGAGGCAGAGAGAGAGTGAGGGAGAATATGCAGATCTAGGTCAGAGAGGCAAAGCAGATGACAAACAAGTGGAGGAAGGGATGAACAGAGTCTCAAAGCTGCCCCCTCTGAACGGGCCGGAGCAGGGAGAGAGTGGGCATCCTTAGAGGACAAGAAGGAGAGAAAGAGGATGACAAAATATATTTATATTTCGTTACTTGCAGGGCTTCAGCTAACATCTATTTTCATTTTTGGTTGGCGAAGCATAATAACTGGAGGAAGGAGATATGGCAAAGTTAGCTGGTGCTTTCTCAAGACTAGAGACTATGAGAATGGATTCATCTTCAAAATAATTCTTTATGCAAAAATGGTAGAACATTTAAACCTCTCAAACATGGAGATTTAATACTGTCTTAGTTCATTTAAAGACATCTATCTGCCCTTTCATTAACTTGATGGACATGTTTTAAAAAATCTTGAGGACATTTTATAAATGGTAGGAAATAATCTGCATATTTATTTGTTTTTAATTGTAAGTTGGGGCCCTTGTCCAAAGTATGAAAATGTGGTTTCCAGAACGTACACGTGAAAACAATCATTTGTTGTTTAACCTGCCGTTACATGCCACTATTTCTGGATGAGCAATAGCCAACAAAAAAACTAAATACGGTTCTTAACAACCAAAGAATGCACTGCTTAGACGGATAAACTGTTGTTGTTGTTAGTGAGCTTTACTGGTGTAGGCATGTTCTTGAAGATTATAAGCCAGGCTACAGCAGCTGTTTCCATCAGGTTTAACGCCTCCTGGCTCCATCTGTACTTAACAAACAGATATGAGAATGATATTGTTCATCTAACAAACTATGTCCAATTGTTACTTTAATGCGTAAATTATTGTGTCAATCATTGGACTTGTTTTGTTTAACCATCAGTCCAAAACCCAAATAAATTCTGCTGCTGTATACAACAGAAAAAGGAGAGATAATCCTCGCATTAGAGAAGCTAAAATCAGCAAATATGTTTGGCATTTTAGTTTGATAAATGACTGTTGATGAGACTATTCATTTGACGCATGGTTTCAATAATAATCATTAGTCTTTCCCCCTTGCTTTGATATCATTGTTCCACACAATATCCTGTTAACTGCTTTGGTGATATTTAATGTTGCGTTCATGTAACCAAAGACCCAACGCCATCCCCTCTTTGAATGTGCAAGTACATGAAGAGGGGGAGGACAGAGACGGAGCGAGAGATGAAGAAGAACAGACAGCGCTAATTCCTTTCTGTTGCTCCTTTCACACTTGGTCATTTAATAAGGCTGGATGACATTACTGCTCTAGGAACGAAGGAGAGATAGAAGGAGATAGGGAAGGAGGGAGGGAGGAGGCTCTGAGAGTAATGAATCTTGATCCAGCTCTGATGGTGTCCATGTCCAATATCTCTTGGACACATTCGCTCTGTCCTGCTCTCTTACAGCCTTTGTACTTCTCTCTTCATGTCTCTGTGCACATGTGTGGGTGTGTGCATGCTTCTGCCTGTGCGGAGAAGTCGGTGTATGTGTGCAAGCGTGTGTGTGAGTTTCTGATTTGTAAGTGGCTGTAATTCCTTTGTTGGACTCCAACAAAGCCAGTCCTTGTGCTCGAGGAATTGGGGCAGTCTGATCCTAATGAGAAATCCCTGTTCAATCTTTCCAACTCTTTTAATGTGTGTGTGTGTGTGTGTGTGTGTGTGTGCGCGTGTGTGCGCGCGCGCATGCGTGCGTGAGAAATGAAAGACTGATCACAGTGTTCAAATATCCACTGGTGCTTAGTTTGCATTATGTAGTGCTGGACTGTGACACAATGAAGTATCATTATTAAATCCCTAACTTTCATTCGTTCAGCAATAAATCAGCAAGTTTAAAAGTTCCCTTTTAATTCAAAAGAGCTGTTTAATGAGAGATGTAATTCGTGGCTTTGAATAGCCTTCGCTCTGGGACCTCAGCTGATGTTAACATATTGTCAGACATCATGTGGGAAATCACGAATGTACAATGGCTGCTCTGAGAACATAATAGCTTCTTGAAATGTAAACAAATTGGAGTGACTTTGTAAAATGCAAATGAAGCCGTTTGTTTTTAGGACATTTGGGAAATTCCTATAATAACTTGTTGTCCCGTTTTTTATTTAGGGTTCGAACTCCAGTTTAGCATATTTAACGGGCCCAATGAGCAAACGCATGCCTTTCTGTGAGATCATATCCTTGTAATAATCAGTTTGTACTTTGTAAAACTGCAGTGCAGAGGAACAAGAACGCTCTGAGCTGCCTATATAATATTGCAGTTAATAACTGTGTATTGAATATACCTCCAACTCAGCTATTAATGGAGTCAAGTGAGTTTACAGGAGCCTCTGGGTACAGTACAATTGATCCGTTAAAACGACTAGATAGTGACAATGACTAATGATCAGTGTTAGGGTGCAGAGAGACTGTCCTGCTGCTGGGAAATCACTCCTGCAAGTGAATAACAAAGCAATGAAACCTCAAACTTGTTCCCATAATATACTTTTGTTGTTATTGAAGCATTAAAGCCTTTGTTTTGGCTGAAGCGCTCATTATCAGAATGGCCTTTCGATTAAAGCCCTCAGGAGGCGATCTAGAGCCAAAGCCCTTAATGCCATCTGGTTTATACTGTAACACTTCCACGTATGTGTGTGTACCCTTCACTATGTGTGTGTACCCTTCACTATGTGTGTGTGTATTTGTTTGTGCTGCTACGCTGTTCTGCTCAACATGCTAATCAGTTGATTCCTGACAGGTGGAAGTAATAGCCGTCAGAGTTTTTAGCGTCTCTCTCGCGGTTAGCTTCATTAGCTGATCACAGGCGCAGATGCTCCGATGCAAACGAACCTCCTGGGTCTTCTATTCCCCCCCCAGCGCCCAATCTCCCGGTTCCTCGCCTCCTATCTCCCCCAGGCATCTGACTAGCCTCAATATTACACAACATGGCAACGTTTTGTAACGGTATCTGTCTAAATGTGTCTGTTTCTCCATGGTTTATATATTATACGCAGTCTGTTAAAAGGCAGTCTTGAGTCAAACAGAAACAGAAAAAATCTAGTGTGTCTGTTCTCACAAACGATACTCATGTAAACAAATCTTTAACAGTTGGAAAAAGGGCATGTCACCATTATTTATTCATCTATCCGTATTTTTGATCAACTTCCAATGAGAAGTGGAGTTTTTTGCTCGTTTTGTTCTAAAAATGCAGATTACCGGTACATGAGTGTTTGACTTTGATTTATGCTTTCATGCATATTGAATGTTTCAGAGAAATGTGCAGCGTCAGAAAACATTAATAACAGCATATTGGTGGTGGGTTATATGAATGAATATGTGTTAAGTAATACTCATATACTCATCGTTTTACGCTCAGTGTCCGAAAGAGAATTGCTTCTCAACTTATTCTTCCGATTATGGACTATTGTGATGTTCTCTACCAAAATGCACATAAATCAGATCTTGCTCCACTCAACATAGCCTACAACAGACTATGCAGATGTGTTCTTGGTTGTCCTTTTCGTACACATCACTGCACAATGTATAACCAACTTAAATGGCCTTCTTTAAATGTAAGAAGACACACGCATTGGCTCCAGCTGATATTTAAATGCATTTATCTTAACTATCCCCCTTATTTAAAGCAGTATTTTGTACCCTACTCACCAAATCATCAAGTTAGACATTCTGTTCAGATTCATTTCTCTGTCCCCTCTGCAAAAAAATGGATTGGCAGAAGAGCGTTCATGTTCAAAGCCCCAACTGACTGGAATACTTTACCTGCTGCTATTAGATCTCTTGCATCATTGGGTATATTTAAACATGCATTGTTATCTCACCTTCAACTGGTCTGCACTTGTTATAACTGATATTGATGAAACTGATTTGCTCGACTGTCTCAAATTGTAATGATTGTGTGCATTGCTTGAATTGTACAGACTGTATGTGGTTTGTCTTGTGTGTCATGTTTTGCATTTGGTCTTTTTGTTTATGTATGTCTGTAAGTTGTTGCTCTTGTCGGGACCCCCTTGAAAACGAGATGGTGCATCTCAAGGGGTTTATCCCAATGAATACAAATGTCTATATATATATACACTTTGTGAGTATTTCCCTCATTGTATTTGTTGCTTATAGGACAGGATCACCTTTGAAAAGTCCTGCTTACTAGTGTTTTCTATCGCAGTATTGACTGATTTATACAATGATATAAATACATGTGCTGCATTTCTTCAGAAAATTATGAAATGTGAAACGACATTGACATTTCTCTTCTTTATTCTCCCTCTCCTTTCCTCCTCTTCTCTTCTTCCACCAGGGTCGCCATGTTAAGACAGGGCAGCTCGCAGCCATCAAGGTCATGGATGTCACCGGGGTAAGACACACACACACACACACACACACACACACTCGTCACACACGCACAACTAATCATCCCAAGTGATTATAACACCATCAACCATATCATCTTATTATGAGCGATGAGTCAGTGTGTGTGAGTGTGTAGTGGCAGAGAGGAAATGAGGACAGGCCTATTGCCATGGTAATATTAGCTGAAAGTAATCGTGGTCTCAGGCGTGTCTGAAGCAGGAGGGAATCTCAGTTATATTTAGAGATCCTCTCATTCTGCCAGAAAAACAATGAGGACAGCCGGAGTAAAACAACGACAAAGGAACTGATGAATGAATGTGAGCATGAATGACTGAATAGGAAATGAACACATGAAGTGGAACGATGAACCAATGAAAGAAAATACCAATGGAACAGATGTGTGAAGCATGAATAAACTGCGTATGAATGACTGTGTGAATAAATCTGCTTAAATACAATGAAAATAAATGACTGTATTCATTGATGATTGCAAATTAAATGAGGGGAAAAACTAACATTTGCTAACTTAATGAGCTCCAAAATGGGCTTACTAAAACAAATGTTTTTGTTTTCACAGCTGATGATCGCTAAATGAACGTAATCAAGGCCTCATTTGCTGACATTGTGCATAATGAATAAGAGATTAGGGTTTTTAACCAACTGCCATCACAACAACTTGTTCTTAACAACTGCTTTACGCTTTGTGGCAGTAACCCCCTAAAAGGAAACTAATTAAAAATGAATGCTATTGTGGTTAATTGAGCGGCCAGTTTATTTTTAAACGGATTCATAAAGCAAATCCTTCGACAACTCCATTCCCTTTCCCTATCACCATCCTATTAATATGTTTGAGGGGTCACAAATAGAGGTCGCGGTTTAATGCCTGTTGATATTTCTCTTCTGCCAGGACGAGGAAGAGGAGATTAAAGCGGAAATTAACATGCTGAAGAAGTACAGCCACCATCGGAACATCGCCACCTACTATGGAGCCTTCGTGAAGAAAAACCCCCCTGGCGTAGATGACCAGCTCTGGGTACGCTATTATCCGTGTGTTGGTGCATGTTTTATATTCTGTGCATCTCTCCTGAGTTTAAGAGAGGAAGGCGGTAGTTTCCAGGAGAGCCACAGAGCAGAAAAGAAAGAAGGGACTTTCCATTTTTCACTGCTACACTTATGTGAAAGAAGCGAGTGTTGAGTTTGCTCAAGCACGCAGCGAATGTGTGCATTGAAGTATGTGTATATACTTTGTGTGAAATACATAAAGGATATGAGTTACTGTGCGTGGCTCGCTGGCTGCTGCAATAAATCAAATGTTAATGCGATCTAAGGGAGCTTTCTCTTCTCTGATCCTGTAGCATTCATCACGTAACAATGGGAGGACACACACACACACACACACACTCACAACCGATATACACAAAGCAGCCAGATATACTGCCTGCATAATTCCCCCTGACTCAACAGCTGCCTGTATGAGTGTGTTAGTGACGGCCCGTCCACACGGCGGCGTGCGTTGAAGCTTCTGCCCATTCACTTTGAATGGGGTGACGTCACGCTTTGCCGAACTGCATTGTGGGAGCGTTGCTCGCTTCAAAAGTTGAGCGATGTTCAACTTTTGAGGCTTCGGCGGAAGCGTCAGCCAATCAAATCATATGCCAGTACAAGCTCTAGCCAATCAAACCGCTGCTTGTGTGTCCGGGGCGGGAGATTCATGTGATTGGTTGTTGGTCGAGTTTCAGACAAGCTCACCGGCAAGCTTCAACGCACGCCGCCGTGTGGACGCTGCGTAAGTGCACAAGCTGTATGTCTGCGTGCTTTGACATGTGTCCCGTTATGTTTATGCGTAAATGAGTTTTCTTTTATATTTGCGTGCTGCTGGAGTACTTGTGCACAGCCTGGGGAGAAGGGGTCGGCCATTACTCGCCAACTTCCTCTCCCTGTTATCCAAAGTGATGATGAGAGGAGCTTGAAGCGAGGCCAGAACTGACCAGCAGCTGAAATTGTGCCCAAAAATCTCCTCCCTAAATGAGTCGGGGAGAGGAGGCAGCTGAGGAGAGGGAGAGGAGAGGGGTTGACAGAATGGACACATTGTGTTTGGGTCAAGAGATGGACTTGATGTGTTCATGTGAACTGCTGACCTCGTTGAGTCAGTAGTTCTGTGTGACAGAAGAAGAGTCCTTAAAATGGCTGTCTGTCCATGTGTGTTCACTTGTGTGTGTGTGTGGGATGTTTTCTCTCTATAGTAATGTGATTATGGCTTCTGTGTATTTTCTTTGTAATGTGCATCATGTTGAAGAAAGGACATTTTATTCTGTGCACATGAAAACATCCAAGAGTTACCATAGTTGTTGTTATTGGAGAAACAGACCAATAGCAATATCAGTACTAAGGAATATTATATATCCCAAAAATATTTATGACTCATTTTGTGTATAAAGATTTACGTAGTAAATATAACACATGATGAAAATATATGACCTTTAAATATTTCATTTTTTAAGTATTCACAGTCAGGTTTTGACTGTTTTCTGAAGGTGTATAGACCAAATGAGGTACTTGTCAGATTATTAAATAATTAAAATAATTGCTTTTAAAGATGACACCAAGGGGTGGACTTAAAAAGAAGTACATTTTGAGCAGTACCTTACATTTTTAAACACATATATTGTATATTTGACCTGATATTGGCGCAGAACTGAACCTACAAGTTGCTTGACTGACTGACAATTAAGCCATTTGTAGGTTCAAAGAAAAAAAGTTAAATGTTCTTTGTTTTATTTTATTATGTAGAGACATTATTAATAAAAAAAAATTATTATTTACAAGCTTTTGTTTATCTAAGTAAGGTGCATATTTGGAGTTACTGTCTTGTTTGGATCAGATACTAGACCTGCTTGTTGTTTCAGAACGTTCATTAATCCACTTGTGTGTGTTCAGCTGGTCATGGAGTTCTGTGGCGCCGGCTCAGTGACGGACCTGATCAAGAACACCAAGGGAAACTCTCTGAAAGAGGAGTGGACCGCCTACATCTGCCGGGAGATCCTCAGGGTGAGTGGCCATGATGCCGAGTCACTGTTTACTGTATTGGAAACCAACAGAAAGAGATCCTTGGTGATGAATAAGACCATGTGAGCTGTGTGTAGAAACGAAGCAGCTGTTTGATTATTCATTTTCAGAATCATCATCTCCCTGATTCAGCTCATGACTCAGTTCTGTCTGGCATCAACAAAATGTCCCCTGTGCAATGTAAACTAATCACTACTGTAGGATAGGGTGTTTTCCCTGTTGTCTTAATTAAAATCAGTACTTATGCTTAAAATAAAACATATTCTAACATATGAATTAATTTTCTTTCTTTAGAAAATGTTAATATCCTTTATCCTCTACACGTATGTTTTATTAAAACCCCTTAGGGTCTTGTAACATATTAATGAAAGTGTTGAGGTAATGGATTTGGCATTTAATTCTCATTTAATGTAATAATGTCTTGGCTTATCTTCATGTTATCCTCAGTTCATGAGTATCTTATCATTGACATGATATTTCACAGCAATCAGCAGTTGTTTGTGTTCTGTGGTTTCCGTGTGTTGGAGTGACGTAGAGAAATGTATTGAATCTTTTTTGGAAATCGCTCTCGTTCCCCAGAATCCAATCTCTTCTATCTGTTTTGGTGACGGTTTTTCGATGAGGGCCATAGCCTCAGACAGAGCCAGTTATACGCAGCGTTGCACTGAACTCAGACAACAATGATTTCCTTTCATCCACTTTTATTTCTCTCTTCACCCCTAATTTCTCATCGTATTTTATTTTGCGACCCTCTTTCCCGCTGTGATTTGGTTACATATCGTCTCTCTGTCTTCTTCCCTTTTGTATTTCTTTTACTGAGGCTTTTATGTGTTCCTGTTGTATCCTTGTCTTGGTGTTATTTTACTCATTTTACATTCGATATCAAATGCTTGACTAAATGAGGACCCTAACCCTAACCGGACACCTTCATGAATCTGGCTTGGACTACATATACCAAACATCTGATATAACGGTGATATATGGTGTACGTTCAGTTATGATAGCAAGAAACACCGTCTCAATCGTTGAATTTCCAAATGACTATTATGATTGATTACAGAAAACACGCTAATATCACACTTTAAAATGGTTTCTCTTTGATATTAAGGTTGTTTGATTTGTGTGACAAAAGGAAAACACTTTCACAGAAAGGCTTTGCTACAGATATTCACGTGGTGTATTTTTATCCAAAAGGGATGTACAAATACTGCAGTTATTACATTTTCTTCGAAAGGCAACTTAGATAAAACTTGCACACAAAAAAAGTCTCTGTAAGGAACAGCCTTTTGGTGCACATGGTGGTCAGATGTCAAGGTCAGCTAGACATTGGTATCTGGAGCGTTTAGTCTTTTTCAAGGGCACTCACTCAAAACATATGAATAATCCTGACTGGTCTTATTGCTGCATTGTCATTCCTTCACTGTGTGTCTCTCTCTGCAGGGTCTGACTCATCTCCATCAGCACAAGGTCATCCACAGAGACATCAAGGGACAGAACGTCCTGCTGACGGAGAACGCAGAGGTCAAACTAGGTCAGTCTGTCATCTAACCCCGTATCACAAAACGGCTGTAGGATTGGGAGGGGAGGTGTGTGTGTGTGTGTGTGTGTGTGTGTGTGTGTGTGTGTGTGTGTGTGGTGTGTGTGTGTGTGTGTGTGTGTGTGTGTGTGTGTGTGTGTGTGTGTGTGTGTGTGTGTGTGTGTGTGTGTGTGTGTGTGTGTGTGTGTGTGTGTGTGTGTGTGTGTGTGTGTGTGTGTGTGTGTGTGTGTGTGTGTGTGTGTGTGTGTGTGTGTGTGTGTGTGTGTGTGTGTGTGTGTGTGTGTGTGTGTGTGTGTGTGTGTGTGTGTGTGTGTGTGTGTGTGTGTGTGTGTGTGTGTGTGTGTGTGTGTGTGTGTGTGTCTTCTTTTATGCTGAATACCAGCAGAGTCATCTCTCTGTAGCTCGGCCCCTGCTCTGGTGCAGAAGGGACTCTCTCTCTTTCCTCTCTATCACTCTCCCCCTAAGACCCAGTGGGCAGGGGATTATAAACTGTGTGTGTGTTTGTAAATGGGGCGAGTTATTGCAGGTTAGGCTATTAGTTTCTGTTTAGAGTCCATTAAGGAATGTGGTAAAGCCCATTGGAATTGGCCCACACACACTCTCAAAGACACACACTGAGAAAAACAACGATTAAATGACTTGTTGCCTTTGTGTGTGTTTTTCTCTGTAGTGGACTTTGGAGTTTCAGCCCAGTTGGACCGAACAGTGGGACGGAGGAACACGTTCATCGGGACGCCATATTGGATGGCACCTGAGGTCATCGCCTGTGACGAGAACCCTGAGGCCACGTACGACTTCAAGGTGCCTAAACAACCTCCTTTCCACATCTGTGTGTTGAGCCCTTTTTGTGTAACCCTGAGTATTTACGCACTGTGTCTCTGCCATTACAGAGTGATTTATGGTCACTGGGAATCACAGCAATAGAGATGGCTGAAGGAGCACCACGTATGTACACAGTCTAAAACACACATCTCCACCACACATCATCTCTTAGTGCTTCTACAGTAGATCATTATAATCCGAAGTCTTTTTATTTTAAGTCTAGGACAGTGCAACTCATTCTTTGCCAGTTTTTTGTAATGAAGGCCAAAGAGCAGATATAAAATTGGTTGTGAAATAATTTTTATTTTCCCTTCTTTCATTACCTTATTCCTAGCAGACATGCACAATATCAGGATGTTCAGTTGAAAAGCTGCTTCTGGACATACTTTAGATTTGTCAAGGTTGTTCAGTTCTAGCAGTCTAGGACAGATCAATCCTGCATAAAGGAAGAAGACCTCAAACTGGATATGAATATTTCAATATGTGCTTCACAAGTTGAACGTATACTGTATAGGTGAAGACCATTTACAAACAAAATCATATTTGTTAGGATGTTAAAAAAGTCTGAAACTCATAGGACGTACTCAAATCTGTTAAATAAAATTATGCAAAACGGCTGAAACCTGGCCATGTTTGACAATGAGAAGTTTGAATATGTAAATGTGAAACTGCCTTTTTGTGAGATAGATAACAACCTAGGTGTTCCATGTGTTCAGAAAGTTGAGACTTAAGTGTGTGTCAGTATATCTAATAGATTGTTATCAGTATTGACAGCCTATATTAGATAGATCAGATGAGGACAAGCTCCAGCTGGCTTTGATTAAATGCCATGATGATGGGTGAGAAACATCCACCCAAACTCACCCATGTTTGGTATTTAAATCTTTAGCGCTGTGTGACATGCACCCAATGAGAGCCCTCTTCCTCATCCCGCGAAACCCCGCCCCCAGACTCAAGTCAAAGAAGTGGTGAGTGTGAATCTTACAACCCCATTAAAAGCAGGTTAATCAGTTCAGTCATAAACCTGGTTACAGCGGACCATTAATTTCTCTGTGGTTTCAGGTCTAAGAAGTTCCAGTCGTTCATAGAGAGCTGTCTGGTGAAGAGTCACGGCCAGAGGCCCAGCACGGAGCAGCTCCTCAAACACCCGTTCATCAGAGAGATGCCCAACGAGAGGCAGATCCGCATCCAGCTGAAGGACCACATCGACCGCACCAAGAAGAAGAGAGGAGAGAGGGGTGAGCAAGATCACACACTCCTATGCATTTAAACATGGATGTACATCTAGATTCACTCACAGGTGGACGTGGAGGGATTCATTAAGTTAAAAAAACATGGTAGCTTGCAGGTGTTAAAGGTCACCTATCATGCAAAATCCACTTGTTCATGTCTCTTCTACATCAACATGTGCAGAAAGAGATTCTGAAAGTTTCAGGAACAAAGATTCTCTCTCTTTTTGATCCATTTCTATAAAAACCTGTCTGAAAACGAGCTGATCAGATTTTGGCCACTTTATGATGTCATAACGATGTTTTGGCTTGTGTAACCATTAGCCAATCAGCAACCAAGGTAACACCCCCCCCTTATCAGAGGGGAGTGGGGAGGGGCTCCTTATTTTCATCTAAAGTAACAGACAGAGAATCAGCACTTTTGAAACAGGGCTGAAACAGAGGGGATTATGGGTAATGCTGCAATGATCTGTTTGGTGTTTGGAGTCAAACACTTCAGAGACATGTTCTGTATATATCTGAGACCTGTAATATATTGATGTAAAACAGTATAATAGGGGATCTTTAAGTAAAAAACACATCGTAGCTTGCAGGTGTTAACCGACGTTGAAAATATAGCTTTTATTAAGCAGCACCCCCCGGGTATGAAAAGTGAAGGCAATTTGGAAGTGCCTTAATCTTGCATTGTCTCTAATATCAAACGGATAAATCCACTGGTAGCGGAAAGAAATCTGGTGATATGCAATCTATGAGAAACTGACTTAAAAATACTTAGATAGTATCAAAAGTAGGGTTTGATGTCATGACAATGAAGGATTATAACTATAAAGTGCAGCAGTCCAACCAATTATATTCGTTGTTTGGCTGAAGTGCAATCTCACACTCACACACACGTGCTCAAACCAACACACACAAATGCACATTCGACTCGTTGCATTCAAATGAGTGAGCTGTAATACACTTTCATACAAACACGCAGATGCAAATTCTCCCACACATGTTCCACTCCACCGCGAAACAAACACAGAGGCCGTTTCTCAATCGCGAGGATGCTGGCTTGGTAGTCGCGTACTTCCAAGTCACTTCCTTCAGAAACGAAGCAAGTATGCTTCCAAGCCACGGCTTCGGAAAACGAAGAAGAATGGAACAGGCTAACAAGTGTGCCACCCTCTCTAACGGTATCAACATAAACTGTACCGAAAATAAATACCTCACGATGTCTATCTAATTATGAACTTGCTTTACTTTCACGGAACACTTTTTTGGTGATAACAAATGTAACAAAGTAACATATTTACCAACACATGTTCTACGCCACTACATACTTACATTTAAATGTGTGCTGCGTCGGTTCAGCCATTCTCCGCAAAGGGTTTTTGAAATCGGTCCGTGCGCAAAGCATTGTGGGGATTTTAACGACGCAAAGTCTACCCATGTGCAGCCTCGACATTTCCCCCAAACCAAGGACGCGGCCTCGGTGGAATTCCAAGTATGCTGGACATTGGAACGGTCCTGCTGCGCCACTTGATGACGTAGCATCCTTGAAATATTGGCTTGGAAGCCAGTATCCTCGAGATTGAGAAACGGCCACACAGTTTGAATGATAGACTGACAGAGGCACACAAGAACCACATTAACCGCTTCAACAAACAGCACACTGCAGGGCGGACGTCTCCATGATGTATAGAAATGTCTCATCGTTGTAGAGACTGTGACTTTCTCCAGCTGTCACTTTGTCACATTCGGAGGACAGGTCTGTGTGGATGTGTCTCAGAAAGAGCTCCGAGCTTATGTTCTCCACTTCGCTGCTCACAGTAAAATTACAATTTATACTCTTATTTAAAGCGGCTAAAAGAAAGTGCCTTGAAGGAGGGAGGATCTGGGAAGGCCAGAATCGTGAGCAGTTTAGAAATGAAGGTAGTTGAAGTGAATCATGAAGAGTGGAATGGCTTTTCTGTCTGCTTGTAATTACCTCACTCACTCTGGTTTTATTCTTTCTTTTCTTTTTTTATTCTTTATTTATTTGGGGTCACATTATAATACAAGTACAGTTTTTCAAATCATATATTTTTAGAGACCCGAAAGTGACAAATGAAATAGCAAACAAAATTAGTCAAAATAAAATAAAAACGAAAAAGTACACAGGGGTTGTTTGAAATAGCAAATGTCTACACATGTACATATGCATACATATCAACATACATACATACAATACACATACATGTGACCATACATACACATCTATACATATACATTCAATCGGTGTATAGAAACACAGTGAAACAAGGGATGGTCGTCTTTGGGACATGTCAATTCTCCACTTTTTCCATATTTCTTCAAATGTGTTTTCCAGAAGCTTCATTGAGAAGGTGATTCTTTCCAAAACATATATTTCATGGATTTTGTCGTACCAGTTGTCAAGAGAAGGGATATCCGCTTTGAGCCATTTTATTTGTGGGGATTGAATGTACGAGCTCAAATAGAAATTCATCCCAGTTTAAAGGGATTCTTTCCTGTAGTACTATTTCAATTTCGATATGGATCTTTTGCCAAAAGGTTACTATTAAAGGGCAAGCCCAATGGTTTTATTCTTTTATTAGTGTTTGACATTTCTTATTCTCTTTCTCCATTAGATGAGACAGAGTACGAGTACAGTGGAAGTGAAGAGGAGGATGAAGAAAGAGAAATGGGTGAACCGAGGTCAGTGTCCTCAAAATACACATTTTTTTCCCTCCAACACATCTTAAATCTCTTCACTTACTAAAAAATACTTGTGCCCTCTCACCGGTCCGTTCGCAGCTCCATCATCAACGTCCCCGGGGAGTCGACCCTGAGGCGGGACTTCCTGCGCCTGCAGCTAGCCAATAAGGAGCGCTCTGAGGCGCAGCGGCGGCAGCAGCTGGAGCAGCAGCAGAACGAGGAGCACAAGCGCTTACTGCTGGCGGAGAGACAGAAACGCATCGAGGAGCAGAAGGAGCAGAGGAGGAGGCTGGAGGAGGTATGCTGGAGGAGGACAATTATCATGACCTTTGACCTTGTTGAAAGCAATTTGAAAAACATATGAGTATAAATGTTATTTAGTAGCCCCAGAGATGGCAAACGTACACACATCCTTTACTCAAGTAGAAGTACAGATACTCGTGTTTAAAAATACTCTGGTAAAAGTACTGACTACACTTCTCTACTCAAGTAAAAGTAACGAAGTATGGGCTTTGAAATGTACTTCAGTAAAAAGTACCCATAACTCCCAGCTGTTTTAAAGAGTACCTGACCTCCCTTTATATTAATAGAACAATAATGTCATTGTTAGCTAATGAATGTTTCCATGCTGAACAACGGCAACATGACAACGTTTCCATTGGTCCCTCTTCTTTAGAGAAGACCAGGAAATGATGGATACACGGATCGTGTTCAAATCAATAGGCACGCAATGACTCTAAATAATAATGATCACGCCACCAAACACACATTCAAACTAAAGGAACCAGCTGTTTGGAAAATGTAAGAAGTAAAAGTACAGGAATTTGTGTTTTTAAAGTAAAAGTAAAAATTCGACTTAAAAATAAGTAGTGGAGTAAAGTACTGATACCAGAAAAATGTACTTAAGTAATGAAGTATTTGTACTCCACTACTTCCCACATCTGAGTAGCCAAAATGTACATTTTCCCACCAAAAGCCGGTAGTAAGCCCTCCATGCTGTCCTGGTTACAACACTTTAAAGCCTATTTGCAAACATAATTTGTCACATTCTGGCAGTTTACCTCACAAAACATTTTATTCACCATTTGGGTCGAGCTTCAGTATAAAATGTGAGCGTCACAGAGACAGACCGGCACACACAGCCTGTCCCCAGTGTCCCTCTCTCAGTTCCAGAGAGCAGGCTTATAGAAGAAAAGCCTCCAGCCCATAATCTGTGCGCTCTCTCTGGGTTCCCACCAGGACTTGCTTCCCAGCGCACTGCAAAGCAGCATGACTCAACTCGAATAACATGACCCCCCCCGCTTACGGCCAAGTGTGCGTCTGTGTGTGGGAAAATATATGTGTGTTTGAGCAGGGGTGGATGTGTTGTGTGTTTGTATCCTGTTTGAATTACCTCTCCTTCTTTTATTTAAAGGGGACCTATCATGCAAAATGCACTTTTTTAAGTCTTTTATACATAAATATGTGTCCCCAGTGTGTCAGGGAACTCACAAAGGGTCAGAAAACAAAACCCTCTCTCTTTTCCTCCGTACCCAAATCTCTGAAAACGGGGGTACAACAGAGCTGTTCCAGATTTGCGTAAATTACGTCATATTGGAAATGTGGACCCAGGCACTATCAGAAACGTTGCTATCAGAAACAATGCCCGACGTGTTTTTGACGTAATATGGTCTTTGTTTACATTAGCATCGCTAACACTCAGAGCTAACCTGCACTGGAGAGAGCATGTGTAAGAAAGCAGGAAATAAAAAAAAAGAACTCAGCTTGTGGTAAACCCGCAAGAGAAAAAGCATTTGAGCTCCATACTGTTTAAGAAATAATCCTTGATGTGGTATGGAACATGATGGCTTTTAATCACGGCAACATGTAACTGTATCTGCCGGGTAATTCTGAGCAGGCATTAGCTCCGCCTCCTCTTTTTTTTTTTTTTTAAGCTAAGGACCCAGAATCAGAAGTTCTCTAACAGGCCTGAAATAGAGAGATATGAGGGATGTCTAAAATGCATTATCTGTTTTGTATCTGTATGTTTTTATATATCTGAGACCAGGGGCTGGGACTTAAAATCAGCCCGGGACTCTCGACCGGTCCGCTTTGGTACCGCTTGTAAATTGTCAACCGGAGGGTGGGGGGGAGGGGTGAGTGCTAGTGACTCATCCGACCGGCCCACTTCAGTACCGGCCCATCGGGATTCGCCCCGATGGGCAGTCCGCCGCTGTCTGAGACCCATAATATATGCCTAAAAATAGCATAATAGGAGACCTTTAAAGATTCGAAGCCAAGACACAATGAAGAAAGGAAATACATGTATTTAAAGCAAAAGGAATTAAGATGACATGAGTTTACATATTAAAAAGGAGCGTGTGTGAAGATCTCTATGGAGACATGTTTCTTCTTTTATTTGTGTGAAAACAATGCACAGCCCCTAGTAGACCCCCCCTCCCCTACACACAACACAGACTATATCACCCCTTGCTGCTAAATACCAATCAACTATGTGCAATATGTGTTAGATGTGCAATATATATATATATATATATATATGCCGTTAATAACTGTGTAATTTATACCTGGCTGCTAAATCCTTAGAACTGTTTTTGTATTTTGAAAAGTTTTTTTTTATTACTTTTTTTTATTTTTTATTATATCATAACTTAGTACTTTTTTTTAACATATGTAACATTAAGCTGTCTGTGGCTCTTTCCTGCTGTAACGATGCAAATGTCCCCTCTGTGGGACTAATAACGGTATTCTGATTCCTGCTCTCCTCACAGCAGCAGCAGCGAGAGCGTGAGGTGAGGAAACAGCACGAGAGGGAGCAGAGGAGGCGCTACGAGGAAATGGAGCAGCTCCGCAGAGAGGAGGAGAGGAGGCATGCAGAAAGAGAACAGGTTCATACATTTACTGTACTATTGTATTAAAACAAACTTCTTGTATGAATACAGACAGTATGGTGCCACAGGAAAGTGTAATATGACGACAACTCAACTCCAGAATCCCTCATTTGCCCCAAAACGTTTCTTTTTATGGCAACATCTCCCTCTGTCCCTGTGAGTCACTACTTGTCTCCTTAATTTACCTCGGTGGTGTATTTTAGTTCTTTGCAGGATTTCAGTTTCACAACTCGTACACTTTTAAGCTGATTATGCATGCTTTGTTTTTCTGTGCATAACCTCCTACCTCTTGTTGTTAGGCCTCTCTTTTCTCCTCAATCGTAAATGCAAAATATAATTTTCTTCTTTCTTTGCCCATCATATGTTCTTTAGATTTCTGTCTAAGTCAGTCAAACTTTATTGAAACATCTTAAATATTTCACAAATGGATCTCCTTTTCTCAAGTGGGATGAAGCAAATAATAGCTTCAAATGATTACTGTTAGAAACAGTTGTTTAGTGTAAGCAGTTCCTTGAGGATGAAAATCAAGACGTGCCCTGGGCAATGCAACCTGTCGACATTATAACACACAATCTAAAGTGTGATGTGCTACAGTTTAAGAGTGCCAGTGTGTATGACAGTGTTGATGGGTCAAGTAAAAAGATCATATATCTTTTTTGAATAAACCCAGAACCTCGACTACAGCTTGTAAATTATCATTCAGTTTTAAAACCTTTTTTCGAAAAATTCCCAAAGGATTTTTTAATAATTTCTCAGAGCTTGGATCCTTTTGCCATCCTTCTGTCTTTCTTTTAACAATCATCTTTCCTTGACCTGCTGTTCTGATGTGTATTATTTGTCTGTCCTGGTCCCTTTATTATCACTCTGTTTCTCTCCTGCTAATATTAAGTGTTTTGAGAGATGTATTTAAACCCCTCTTTTCTCTCTGTCTCCTTATCATGTTTTCTTTGTAACACATTACAATTGTTGCGTCCTCCTTAGCTTCATCTGGTTCCTGACTAATCTTCTCTCCTCATTCACTGCCACCTCAGGAGATTATCCTCTCTATATCGCTTTCTATCTCTGTCTTTCTTTCTCTGTCTGTGTTTAGACGTTCAGATTTCCTGATTTTTCTCTCGGTCTATTTCTATCTCCTTGTGCCGACACGCTGCTCAGGAGTATATCCGTAGGCAGCTGGAAGAGGAACAGAGGCAGTTAGAGATTCTCCAGCAGCAGCTACTACAGGAACAGGCATTACTGATGGTAACCATAGCCCTCCCACGTGCTACTGCTGCCCCCCATCTGTGCTGTGTGGCCCCCTACCCCCACTGCATGCACCTGAGTGACAGTTTCACAGAGGAACTGACTCAAGGAATCCACAGTCTTGAGACACCCAACATGTCTGCTACCTATTTGAAAAACATGGAACATAAACAATGAATTTCTTATCTCCAGTGCTTGTTATTCAGATCACTCATTGCATGAAGTATACCATTGAGTTGGCTGGATCTCAAAGGATTTCCCAAAGGGTGCAGAAAAACAGTTTTGTCAGCCTCAATCAGTTGGGCCCACGCAAAGTGAGAACATCCAAAGGGAAATGAGACAGATATATTTCCCACAGAGGTGCCAATCTTATCTGTGTCTGTGTTTTATTAGTGCGAGGATTCCACAGTAGGTATTATATGATGTGTCCACTGCCCCTTACATCTTATTTGAGGAGAAATACAGTAAATGAAACCTTTTGAGATCCAATCCATGTCAACCCCAGAGACCACAGTAATGACTTCACGCACCAAAACCCAGAGATGTGTTGCTACCTAAAAATAGCATCTTCCCATTCCCTCTCAACTTCCTTCCTACCTCCATGTCTCCTTCCCTCTCAGTACCTTCCTTCCTTCCTTCCACTCCCAAAGCCCAAGTCCTTTCTTTCCCTCGTCCCGTTCATCTACATCAGGCTCAAGATGGTGGTTATAATTGTGAATCTGTTACATCCACATGATTCAAGTTGTCAGTATTTGTGTTCATAAGTTCTGTTTTGCAATATTTGATAATGCATTGCTCAAATTTGATATCAAAAACAGGCTTGTTTATCAAAAACATTTGCAAACGCACAAAACGGAACAATTGAGAGAAATTCAGTGCAAATGACAGCTTACTATTTCGTAATTAAACTACTTTTTTGACTACTTGAAGATTGCATTGATAAGAAATTGTGCAACAACTCCTCGCCTGATTTGGTGCTGATCTGTGTCTCTCACTACCTTCTCATCATCATCATGTCCTCCTCTTACGGTCCTCCGTTCTCCTCCAAAATCCCCCCCCCCCCCATTCTCCCTGTCTCCCTGCAGGAGTACAAGCGTAAGCAGGTGGAGGAGCAGCGCCAGGCGGAGCGGCTCCAGCGGCAGCTCCAGCAGGAGAGAGCCTACCTGGTGTCTCTGCAGCAGCAGCAGGAGGGACGGCAGGCCGAGAAGAAGCCGCTTTACCACTACAAAGACATCAGCAACCCCACCGACAAGCCTGCCTGGGCTAAGGAGGTAAGTCACAACATGCATGGTGTACAAAGACATGCATGCAGTTAAATATGTGAGTTATCTTCCAAAATCATCCCTTTTCTACACTGAACAAAACTGAAATGTTGACTTTAATTAAATGCATTATGTCGACAAACTGTATTAGGTTAGTTGAAAGCAATAATATTCAGTTTAAATACAAAATGTTAGGTTGAACTTAATATTATTGCTTTCAACTAACCTTATATAGTTATGTTAAATGTGTTGATATAATACATTTAATTAAAGTCAATGTTTCAGATTTTTCCGTGTAGAAGGGACAAGTACCAGCTCTGAGTCGAGTACTAAATATCTGCATGTATTTTATACAAAAACACCCAGTGGCCTTTTTGTGTTGTTAATATCTAATTCAGCAGGTCCTACTAGAAGCAGCAGCCCCCGTGGGAGACATCGCTTCTTGAGTCTGAAGATATTTAAGAAGTGCTTTTATTCCCCATGTGAAGTCTCCTCTGTGTTTGTGTTGTGGCTTACCTTCCTCTGACTCTGACCCCCAGGTCCTGAAGCAGCAGCATGTTCAGGGTCACCTACCCCACTCCCAACTACGACAGCACCAGTCATTCAACCAACCGGCTTCATCCCCTGACTCTTGGCGCCAAAACAGAGCTCAGGCCCCTAGACAAACCCCGTCCCATGGTGCCCAGCCCCTCTCCTCCCACCCCCCCCATATCCATATCTCACTAGATGGAGAACTCCTAGATCCGGGGCTCAAGCAGGAGATAAGTCAGCAGGTCAGAGAGTTTAGGGCTCAAAAGCTCAGGGGCCGCAGCCCGGGGCGCAGCCGGGAGCAGAGCCAGGGTCCTGGCCAAGGGCCCAGTAAGGGACCTGGTAAGAATCAAAGAGAGCTTTCCAGTCACGAGCCAGTCAGCCAGTCTAACCAAGTGCTCAACCCTTATGCTCTGGCGCCTAACAATCAGAATGAGAGGCCCAGAGACAGGCCTCTTTCTGCCCCAAATCATGCAGACATCCAGGGGCTAACGCCGGACCCTAGGAGTCCCCAATCTGGATCTATGTCTGCTTTCAAAGTGGTTAGTAGACATCCGCGCAGCAAGTCACACTCACCTTGCTGTAGAATAGATGTAGAAATAGAATCAGAGTCTCAGGGAAGGTGGCTAAAAGAGAGTAGGCTAGATCGCAGCCACACGAACCTCCTATTCCCCCCGGACTGGGAGGTCTCACATGGCCCAACTGACCGCCTCTCTTGCTCCTTCCCTGACAACGCTCTCCAATCCGCCGTACAAAGGTGCAGGAATTCCTACTCACCTGCCTCCAATAGTCTTCTTCAAGTCCCTGGTGACAATCACTTACTTCCCCCTCCTTTGTATAGTGACAGAGAGGGAGGGAATAGGTGGCAGGGAGTAAGACCTTGCTCCTCCATGTCTGACCTTAACGCTTCTGCCCCAGCAGACGTAATGAGACAGAACTTTTCTGAGATCAGACATATGGGTTTTCGCTACACTGAAGGGCTAACCTCTCCCACCATTCCCGATTTGTGGCTGAGCCCCTCACCTCGCACCTCTCCACAAATCTCCCCCTCTTCCTCAGGCTCGTGGTCCACCGGTAGCTTTTCCCCTCAATTCTCCTGTGACACGCTTGTGTTCAACAATCCTCACACACCTTCTCCAACCTACAATGACCTCCTCATGCCCAACCAGGCCTTCCATATCTCCCTCTCAGCAACGTCTACCCCTCGCTGCTCCCCGTATGGCTCTCCCATTGGATCCCAGAACCAGATCCATTAAGTGCTCGACCCTTGTCCAAAGCACACATGTATAGATACACACAATCACACACACAATCACACACACACACATTTTTGTACTTCTATGTTTGTGGCTGAAATGAGGCCCAAATCCGTTTCTAGTTTTCGTAACTTGTGTTGATACAACATGAAAGGGTTGATGCACATTTAGGTTGTGTCTGCTGATCTTTGGTGAACTCAAAATATACTTAAATCAACAAAAGCAATAATTGCAACTATTCCCAATTAAATATTTAAACATAGACTGTAGTGTAAACAAATTTGCTCGCCAAAAAATCGACTTCCTTGTCCCAAATGTAACCCTCAAATATATTTCAGAATATATCTCCACTAACAAAGTCACATAAGTCATCCCAAAGATGCAAGCACACATGCATAATGTAAATACATACAAACACACAACATTACTATTAAAAAAAATCTACATTTATCTCGACAATTTACGTGTATTTTATAATGAATCTACATGTTGTACATTTTTTAATTACTGAAAATATTATCTTCTGGGACTGAGATCCATTGCGGAGTTGCTGATATTCAGAGACAGTTTATCACCCTGTACCATAGGTAGCTTAGTTACCCACGCCCCCCTTCCCCCACACCCGTATAACCCACTACCCCAAAAAGCACCATGGCCAACCCACTCCATATTCTTGTTGATGTCATCGGGGAAACCCACCCATCAGAACTTCTATTTAGGTCAGTCAACCAGTCGATCTAATCCCGGCTTGGTGATGGGTGCTGGCCAATTGGTGGTGGGATCCTTCTAACAACCCTGGATCCTCAGAGGATGTCCTCCATCTGCTCTCCTTACTAATCTTTTTCTTTGTTCTTTCTTAGTTTTGATGCGACAGTGACCTCTATTAACATCCCCTAATGCTCTGTGTTAACCTCTGAGAAACCTTGCCATGGAAGAAAGAGCTTTTGGGTGGTAGGCTTAAGAGGAACCTCAAAAACTTGTAAATATTTGATCAGCACCACTCAAAAGGTTTTTCTTCCAGTAGCAATCTCTCTATCTGTTTGAAGGTCAATTGATGTTTATGCTAACATTGATCGCCTCCACAGCTTAAACTCGACCTGGATCACAGCAGTGCTTCTCCTCACTCACCAAATATTTCTTTTTCATTGGTTCTGTGTACTGAGCTGCTGTTTATCTACACTTCTTTCCTTCACCAGTAGTTGGCGTTCATCCCGAGTGAACAACTAACAAGAGATGATTTCTGACACCGAATACCATAGTTGCCTCACTGTAGTTGACTCGCTAGCAGGCAACTAACAAATATTTGAGGAATGACACAATATTGCATAGTTGTTCTGACCCGGGTCATAATCTTGAATAATCCTACAAGATTATGGACTCATGTGGAATTACAGAAAGCCTCCAAAGGGGATAGTTCTCATTGCATACGGAAGTTTAACTGGGGGCTATTGACTCTATGCCATGCTGAGCCACGACTCAACCGTCCACCAGCCGTTGAGTAGACGATGTTCAGAGGAAAAGTGTGATTTTATCAGCCGGGAGCATTCCTCACTGCACACCAGATAATCTGATAATCTGATTACACTGGCAACGGGAGCTTTCTGTCGTCCTCACTCACAGATATTTGGTGCTTGTTTGCATCGAAGCTCTGTGAAAAAAGTCACTGAAGCTCTTATGAACATAACAATAGCTCCGCATCTACTCAAAACTATGATTTTTTTTTGTTTAAATGCGGTGTCTGCTTAAAAAGATTTGGGATAATTCGGTACCTTTGCATAAAGCAATCAGACACTCCTCAACTCAAGTCTGTGGGACATGTAGAAACGCAAACACAACAATTTGATGGGAGTTACATCGAATACAATCTGACCAGAGAATCTGTTGGATGACAAACAACCAAAACATTGCATGTAATGTTGGTGCCAACAACCTGCCAGATTTAAGACATTTGACAGTTTCCTTGGAAGTCTGGATTTGCTCCAAGTGTGTAATGAAGCATAGTGAGGCTGTACAAATAAGTGGCAGTTGACAACAAAAACACAGAGATGTCCCACAGTGTGATGTTTGGATGTCTGTTTGGTTTGTAACCATGCATGGGGATGGGGGCAATACCGACGGTGGTGATTGGTTGTTGCCGTGTGCTTGGCTGTGAGTGACAGTGGTATGTGACCCGTCCCAGGTGGAGGAGCGATCTAAGCTGAACAGGCAGAGCTCCCCAGCGCTACAGCCCAAAGTGTCCAACCGCATCTCCGACCCCTCCCTCCCTCCCCGCTCCGAGTCCTTCAGCAGCGGGGGCATGCAGCCCGCCCGCACCCCACCCATCCACCGCTCCATTGAACCACAGGTGTGTGTGTACACGTGCATAAATGGAGGCGTGCGAATGCTCGGTGTGTCATAAATAATCACAAATCTTTTCACTCCTTGTTAACGTTTAAAGGTCCAAGCCTCCTTTTAAATCTTTCATCACTCCCTCCTTTCTGACTTTCGTTTTCGTTCTATTTTTATTAATCTCATGTTATTTTCTACCATTTATTCTGTAACATAATAAATCTGACACAATCCCTTCATGCCTCCTTCTGTCTTTCTCATCTTGCAGATGGCCCACCTGGTCCCAGTGAAGACCCACTCCGGGTCCATGTCCGGTTCCCAGTCTCTGCAGGATCAGACGGGCTCAGCTCTGAGTGAAGGGGTCAGCGTGTCTGGCTCCCCCAGGCCCGAGATGCCCCGCCAGAACTCGGACCCTACCTCTGACACCCCCGGACCCCCGCAGCGCATCGCAGGCAGGGAGGACCGGGACAGAGACAGGGACAGGGATCGGGACAGGACCGCCTGGCTGAGAGAGGAGGACATGCCACCCAAGGTCAGAGAATCACATTCAGAAAGAAGACACTATTTCTGTGTTAAAGGTCACCTATTATGCAAAATCCACTTTTCATGTCTCTTCTACATCAACATGTGTCCCCTCTTCTTCATGTCTCTTCTACATCAACATGTGTCCCCTCTTCTTCATGTCTCTTCTACATCAACATGTGTCCCCTCTTCTTCATGTCTCTTCTACATCAACATGTGTCCCCTCTTCTTCATGTCTCTTCTACATCAACATGTGTCCCCTCTTCTTCATGTCTCTTCTACATCAACATGTGTCCCCTCTTCTTCATGTCTCTTCTACATCAACATGTGTCCCCTTTGTGGAAAGAGACTCTGAAAGTTTCAGGAAAAAAGATTCTCTCTCTTTTTGTCCTGATCCATTTCTATAAAAACCTGTCTGAAAATGAGCTGATCAGATTTTGGCCACTTTATGATGTCATAACTATGTTTTGGCTTGTGTAACCATTAGCCAATCACCAACCAAGGTAACCCCCCCCCCCCCCCCCCCCACCTTATCACCTGCATCTCCTCCTCGAGCACCATTGAGTTCTTTGTAACCAAATCTCTCTCAGAGGGGCGTGGGGAGGGGCTCCTTATTTTCATCTAAAGTAACAGACAGAGAATCAGCACTTTGGAAACAGGGCTGAAACAGAGGGGATTATGGGTAATGCTGCAATGATCTGTTTGGTGTTTGGAGCCAAACACTTCAGAGACATGTTCTGTATATATCTGAGACCTGTAATATATTGATGAAAAACAGTATAATAGGGGACCTTTAATATTATTATATTAGTCTGTTTATGGATTTAATTTAGTTTAAGCAAAAGCATCAAGAAAAGCACAAACTTCATCCTGCAAGTAATCTTTTCTTACATTTTGATTATTCCTTATTTGTTTGGTTAGGTTTCAGTAACCTCATTAAAGCTGGGGTAGGTAATTTTGGAGAAACCAGCTCGAGTGCGCTAGAATTTGAAAATACACAGCCGGAGAAAACCTGCCACTTCCTTACAGAGCCCCTCCTCCAACACACACGAACGCGCACATGACCAATGAGGGCACGAGATAAGTTTGTGCACAGATGGAAGGCTGACAGGCAGGTAGGCCATCCAGTTACTTTAGCCGGGCCGGCTCAAATGATTGGTCGTGCTTTTTACAGCGCTACGGCTTCCACATATGAAATTATTTTATGGATTTTTTGTCAAAGCACTTAAGATATTCATTGCTATCGGGATGTTAAGAGCATTCCATGGAATATAACACAAAGTGTATCTCGAGCCGGTTTCTCAAACTTACCTACCCCACCTTTAAGTGAGGAAACTGAACTGATGTTGCAACCACAGGAAATGGCACAGTTTTGTAAGGTGTAATCAGCTTTTGGGAACTGACTGCGATACAAGAACATACAAACATGGGAAAAACAAGGGAAGGGCTATGCTTTACATGCAGAGCACAGCCTTTAGTGTAATTAGACTTTGTTGGCATTGTTAACTAGGGCAGGTGTCGATCAACGTTACTGCATCTGTTTCACCACATTTATGAATTATGTCAGTAACAACAAAAATGTCTGGTCACAACCTTTGGACTTCTTGCTAGGGGATTATAAGCCAAGCCGTATCAGCAATAGTGACCTTCTATATATTTGTGTCCAGGTCCCTCAGAGGACTACTTCCATCTCCCCAGCCTTGGTCAGGAAGCACTCCCCCAATGGAGGAGGAGTAGGTCTGGGCCCTCGCACAGGCTCCCAACTCATAAGGGCCAGGTAAAGCTCATATTAGCACATAGTCCACCTGAAGTGTAAACTAAAGTCTACATCTGAAGTCTATGCAGACCACCTATAATAATAAGCCATTGTATTTATTTATTTTAAATGTTGAACATGTCAAAATACAACTTTAATGCTGTGTCTGATAAAAATATTTGTAATTTCTTAACGGAAGCTATTCATCATACTGTTTGAATTCATTTGTTTCACTGTAGGAATTGCCTAATATTATCTAACGTTTGTAAACACACGGTAATGCTACATGGCATGCTATGCTGGATCATAATAAAGAACTGAAATGAGTGAAACATTTTTTATTTCCTCTTTCAGTAACCCAGACCTGCGGCGCTCAGAGCTCTCTCTGGACGCCATGCTGCAAAGAACGTCCTCCAACTCCTCATCCTCTTCCTCCCCTTCATCTCAAGGAGGCTCAGCCGAGAGGAGAAGTACAAAAACTCACACAGACACTCACGATTATACCGTTGTAATGCACTCAAGCTTGCACGCAAACAATTAAAAGCCTGTGTGTGTACTTGTTTACATGCGAACACAGACACACACTCACAGGGCTTCGGCGAGTTTCAGAGGCTATCAGCGGGACAGTGTCAGCTGCAGTTCTGCTCTGATCAACCTGTCTGATGTGCCCTGTTACTCCCAGCCTCCGGAGAGATAGAAGAGAGGAAATGAGAGAGGCAGATAGAGAGAAGCCTTCACGGATGTGTCAAACAACAGGCCAGAGGGATATCTAAGATATGCATGGATATCCCCTTGACAAACACATGGCAGAGGGAGACGTTGGAGTACGGAAGGATCAGCTTTCTTTCATGTTGGATGTTATAATGGGGTTCACAGTCAAAATGGCGGAAATGTAAAAAATTCGACAAGTAGTAATCGGAATAGGGTGAGAAAATACAAAATAGTTCTAAAACAGGATTTGCGTGACCACACCTTTTCACAATATTAATGAGTAGGTAGGAAAATATGATTAAGTGATATCTGTCATCATTTGAATTAACATGTTTCCAGATTCTGATCAAGCTAATTGATCTACAGATTCTACAGTGTGTAGGTCAAATGTGTAATTTCTTTCCTGCTATGATAGGTCAAGCCAAGCCAGAAGGATCCCCACCAGGAGCCAATCAGGAGGCAAAGCCCAAACAGGAGGAGGGCCGTGAATCAGCCAGACCCAGCAGACCTGCAGTGAGTATAACGCACACACACACACACACACACACACACACACACACACACACACACACACACACACACACACACACACACACACACACACACACACACACACACACACACACTATCTTTCTGTCACAGCAGTCTCCTCCCTGGGAATCTTCTTGAGGCTTCTTCTCCTTTTTTCTACATTCATCTGGTTCTTCTTTTCCCTGCCTCCCTCTCTTGTATTCTTCAGAGCTATAAGAAAGCCATAGATGAGGTTAGTGACACTCGAGTCCCCCCTTTCTTTTATCCCAGTATTCCTTTGCCTCGATCTTCAGAGCCCTTCTTTTTCCCCCTGGCATGGTGGCGTTAGTTGGTTTCACAAGAAGATGACGTTTGTTTCTTTTAAGTATTAAAAAAAGATCAGAGTGTAAAGGCGGCGGCAGTGCATGTGTGCTTCTACACACATACCTCAGAGAGTGTATGTGGACGCGCGCTTGTGCCAGTTTGAGTGTATGCATGTGTGTGTTGGGTGTGTGTTACCTGAACTGCCAAGCACCTGATTTCTCTGAATCTGTTTTCCTGTTTCTCTGATGTCACGGGCACTGATCAGGAGGAGCTGGTAAGCCCACCGTGTATGACGGTTCTCCCTCTCCCCATCTGCATGATTTGGACTGATCCATTGGGCTGGCTTGAATGGGGAGTTACGGGAGGGGAGAAACCACAGGCCAGTTGGCATGGGGTTGATTGGTAGCGCGGGGGTGCGGATTAATGCCATCCAGTACAACATCAATCCTGATTATCTGTCTCTCTCCTCTGATGACCCGTCTTCACATGGTTGATGCTTGTGAGCGAACAAAAGTGCTGATATGTAAACACTTCCTATGGCACAAATGAATGTGTCACTTGGCTAAGCTTTAAGTGTTTCTCAGATAAGCATTGTTTGTTCCTGTTTACAAACCGGGTGTTTGTGTGACAACAAATCAGTTTCCTCTCGTCACCTCTGCTGCCCTCGTGCTTGTATATGATTTGGTCTCCTTCTCCTCAGGATCTGTGATACAGCGCTGATGAACTAAGTGTCTCTTACTCCTCCTTTATTCTGTTCATCTCTACAGGACCTTAGTGCACTGGCTAAGGAGCTCAGAGAGCTGAGGGTGGAGGAGGGCAGCAGACCTCCAGTCAAGGTACGACTTATACATGTACAGGTGTGATGAAAGGGTTTCATTTTTATTCACCGCATGTTTTATATTGTTTGTGTCTGTCAGAGAGAATATATATTTTGTATTATCATACATTTGACCTAATTTTTAACCTGATAAAATGTTATATTTTGCTGCATGTACCTTTAAAGTTCTTAACAAATAATCTGAGGGGAATTTCTTGTTTGTTTTTAACTTGTGATGTGTCATTTTGTAAAGCACGTTGAGCTGCATGTGTTGTTTGAAAAGTGCTATATAAATAAAGCTTTATTATTATTATTTTGAATGGATAGATTTATATTGTAGTCTTGGCCTGCGATAGAAAATTGTAAAAAATAACACAATGAAGTAAAAAGATTATTTACCGTTGCAAAGTTGATTTTTAAACAATATTTTAAACCATGTTTTTTGTACATCAGGAATTGTCTTCTTCATTACATTTAGACTTTGAAGTTAATGCCGGCAGTATCTTATCAGGATAAAACGTGAAGCAGTGGCAGGAATGTGCTCCTTGCGTGATTGTATGCATGCATGTGCAGGATGAAAACTATACAAAGGAGGTGTGTGGCGCAGTGGGTTGTGCATTGGTGTTCGAATCTGGGGGTCACAGGTTCAAACCCCACTGCAGTCAGCATGTCGTTGTGTCCCTGAGACACTTCACCCCAAATTGCTCCTGTGGGGATTGTCCACAGTATTAAGTATGTAAGTCGCTTTGGATAAAAGCGTCTAACAAGTAACATGTAATGTAATGTAAAAAATACAAGGACTACAGGATGAGCCATTGCTCCCAGGGGTGTCCAACTCAAATACACAATAGGCCAAAATTAAAAAATCGGTACTAGTGGAGGGTCGGACTGGTTCAATGTTTATTGCAAAACTTATTGAAATGAACTTATTGCACATATTAAACCTGGAACTAACAAAGCTTAAATTATTGCCTATAAAAACAACATTAAACATTAAATAATCAGCTGCATTCATTTCTTATGGCTCTATCTGCAGCTTTTCCTCAGTCATTTCTTATGATTACATTTTTCCACAGGCCAACAGCAGCTTCAACAAAACAATTTCCCTCAAAGAGAAAAACAACATGTCCTGTTGTCGTGAGAGAGAAAGTGCAGAAGGAAACATCCATTAAACTCAGTGTGCTGCTCTGTGATGCTAGTTCAGATACTCATCTCGGGTGCAAGTTCATCAATGTTTGGGGTCAGGCTCTGAGCTGAGGAGACCCTCAGGATGGAGTGAAGGTGTGCGTGCAATATACCGGCGGGCCAGATCTAATAGGAATTAGAAATGATCCTGCGGGCCGAAATTAAATCCACCACGGGCCTGATTTGGCCCCCGGGCCTTGAGTTTGACACATGTCCTTGAGCAATTCTGATGTTACACAATCCATCCTTACCCTTAATTATCTTTCTTCATTTCTCTTTTCTGTCTGTACTCCTCGCGTTCTAAAAAAGGTGACAGACTACTCGTCCTCTAGTGACGATTCGGACAGCAGCGATGACGACGGGCAGACAGTGGGGCATGATGGGACGGTTGCTGTTAGCGACATCCCCCGCATCATGTAAGTTGTCCCCTCTGTTTTTGTTTTTCCCTTCCTCTGTTCTCTTTCCTCCAAGCTCGGCTTGTCAGTATTCATTTGTGTAGAGATAAGCATGTATTTGGTATAAACACCATGCCAGCAGCTTGTCAGTACAGTTTTGGCAGAATTGCTTTGTAAATAATTGTGTGTGTGTGTGTGTGTGTGTGTGTGTGTGTGTGTGGTGGTGTGTGTGTGTGTGTGTGTGTGTGTGTGTGTGTGTGTGTGTGTGTGTGTGTGTGTGTGTGTGTGTGTGTGTGTGTGTGTGTGTGTGTGTGTGTGTGTGTGTGTGTGTGTGTGTGTGTGTGTGTGTGTGTGTGTGTGTGTGTGTGTGTGTGTGTGTGGTGTGTGTGTGTGTGTGTGTGGTGTGTGTGTTGTGTGTGTGTGTGTGTGTGTGTGTGTGTGTGTGTGTGTTGTGTGTGTGTGTGTGTGTGTGTGTGTGGTGTGTGTTGTGTGTGTGTGTGTGGTGTGTGTGTGTGTGTGTGTGGTGTGTGTGTGTGTGTGTGTGTGTGTGTGTGTGTGTGTGTGTGTGTGTGTTACAGGCCAGCAGTGCAGAGCAGCAGTGAGTCGTATGGAGGGCTGCCAGAAGACTCTCTAGGAGATGCCTATAATAGCTCCAAGGACAGCACTCTGGTGATGAGAGAGGTGATGAATGATTACACACACACACACACACAGGGATCTAAAGAGAAGGGGATGAAAATAAACAGAGAAAAACTGTTTTTGTTCATCCAAACTGAGCTGATTTTGCTTCTTCGTCACCACTTCTTTTAGTCGCCCCTCTCAACATAATATCTGCTCTTTCCTTTGTTTCTCTCCTATCACTTTGTCTTTAAGGCGGAGGAGAGGAGGAGAGGTGGTCACACTGAGAGCAATGGGTTCGGTAATCACGGTAACCATGGTAACCTCCCTGACCTGGTGCAACAGAGCAACTCTCCCTCAGCCACGCCCACCTCCGCCCTGCAGGAGCTGGGAGACATGGCTGAGGTCAGACACACACACACACACACACACACACACACACACACACACTCACTCATTCATGGATATAAATAAAAGATAAACTTCAATTCATATCATTAGTCTTAACATTTATGAATTAAATAATAAAAAGAGTATAACTAACTGTTCGCATTTTATATTTGGAATTGGACAAATCCAGCACTTAAAGAGCCTGTGACACGAGTTTCCCCCATCATCCAAACCCATCAATTTGAGTAAATAGTGTCCCCTTGAAAACCGTTACTGAACTGATTTTGGATATTTGTACTTTGATAACCATTAATCTGCCCTTCAATGTTGACCATTTCCTGGATCTGCTCGGGGATTCTTCAAGTCCCGCCAAATTACGTGTGACGTCATTGCGGGCACAGCGCTCCAGCTGCACCGTTCAGGATCCCAGCATCTGCATGTAAACGCACGATGGTGCACACAGCAGTAAGCTCAGACAGCGATGACAGTTTCATTTTGAACGTGTCTGAGAGCTCATATGAGGCTGAAGGATCGGTTTATGTTGTATCTGTTAGAAGTTTAGGAATTAGGTGCGTCAATATGGGCGATCATACGGTCATGTAGCCAGTGGGACTAAAAATCATCCCGGGACTCTCGACCGGCCCACTTCGGTACCGCTAGTAAATTGTCAACGGGGGGAGTGGGGGATGTCAGGGGCGGCGGGTGCTGTAGATAGTAAATGTAAATATGTAAATATTTGTGTCACTGCATCCTCGTAAAATACAAATATAATGCAATGTGTGTGTCTTTGACATTAGCGCTGCCAGCCACCTGTGCCCTGTACTACGAAGCCAGTTCAACAGACCCTGGATATGTTTGAGTAACAAACAAACTAACAACAACAAACTAACAAACGAGATCTCGCTAAGCGGTCCTACGACGCTGGTTATCAACTCGGTAAATCAAGCCAGGGTTTCTCTCTCCAGCTGAGAGCGCGTTCACGTCTAAGACACGAGTGGATCTGACTTTAATTACATTTGACTGTGTTTCGTCAACATAATGTGTTGCTAAAAATAATACTTCTGCATACAGTATGTGACACTGTAAGTGTTGCTAGGCCAGACACGGCAGATAAGGAAATATGATATATTATGATATTATATGATCGATGATCTGATTGATGATGTAATATGAATGATAAGTGCGACACGTCGGCGTCTTCTCTGCATACGGCAGTTTAAACTGTATTTCCTTTATCCTGTAATATGACTTGAGAGATTTAAACTCCACACACTGAGTTGATCTCTTTTCTATAGACGCCGGAGGCGGGTAGCGTCAGGTAAAAAAAGTTATTTAGCCTTCCCAAACCTGAGCCTCACGCGCCGCCTATGGGGGATGTGCTAGTGACTTATCCGACCGGCCCACTTCGGTACCGGCCCATCGGGATTCGTCCCGATGGCCAGTCCGCGACTGCACCCAGCCCACGTAAACTGTCAACGGGGGGAGCCTCGCTGCGGGGAAACGGTGGACCTAGTGTCCTGATCGGAGTGGGAATAATAATAATAATAATCCGTGCATTTTATCCATTAATTTCCCCAACATTGTGGTGAAAAAAACACACGTTTGTGTTGGTGTACTACAACTACAAAAAGCATCGGTTTGTTTTCTCATCAGGAAATGCAGACCGGCACAAACAAACGATTTTTAATCATCATTCTCACGATCATTTAATCTATCATATGTTCGCCGAATTGACACGAAAGCACTAATTCATGTAGTTTCATCCACTTGAGTTTACAACTACAAAAATAATCGATTTGTTTTTATATCACATCCTACGGGAGGAAATTCAGTAGCTCTCACTACCGATTTTTAATCCTAATGTAATCATCATCTTCACCACGATCATTTATGTTTATGTTCGCCGAATTGACATGAAAGCACTGACAAATATGAATATACTGTAGTCAACTTCATTAAAACGTTATTAACGTGCCTAAACTCAGTAATTCACAATTTCTACGCATGACAACACACTTTGTCCGTGTTTGGCTCTCTCGCCGCACAGTGAAGCGTTCCCGCATTGACGTCACTTCCGGCTTCCCCCAAAACTTCAAAATGAGTCGAAGGAATTTCCCGCGATGTTCGAAATTATTGATATTTAACGGAACGGTATCGCTTTTTCTTTTTTAAACTGACGGTTCGAGATTACTAGTAGCCCAATATTTCATTGCACAGTTGTTGGGATGCTGTCACAGGCTCTTTAAGTCCGATAAATTCCCTTAATTTCACATAAAAACGTTTGAGCAATAAAAGGAGGTATTATCATGATTTTCAAATAAATGAAAGAAGCCCTGAGTAATGTGTTAATGTAGGCTGCTGCTATATGAAGACTTACTGTTTTCTGTCTCACAGTTTGGTCTGGGCGGGTCCAAATCGTCCTTCACCCCATTTGTTGATCCACGTGTCTATCAGACCTCCCCAGGTGAAAATGATGATGAAAACTCAACAGAAGGTAAGCAAAGTAAAACTTAAGCCACATGTTAACATATTCCACAAATCTAATCAGTTAAACCTTTTTTACATTCGTTCAACTTTCTCTTCTTCTGTTTTATCTCAGACATGTTTTCTAGCGAGCTTCTGAGGCAGGAGCAGGCCAGACTAAACGAAGCCAGAAAGATCTCTGTGGTCAACGTTAACCCCACCAACATCAGACCCCACAGTGACACCCCAGAGATCCGCAAATACAAGAAGCGCTTCAACTCTGAGATCCTGTGTGCTGCACTCTGGGGTAGGAGGGGGCATCCTTCAACTTGTATTAAACAAAAAACTAGTCCCAACATCTCTGTGTTTCTGACGTGTGTGTGTGTGTGTGTGTGTGTGTGTGTGTGTGTGTGTGTGTGTGTGTGTGTGTGTGTGTGTGTGTGTGTGTGTGTGTGTGTGTGTGTGTGGTGTGTGTGTGTGTGTGTGTGTGTGTGTGTGTGTGTGTGTGTGTGGTGTGTGTGTGTGTGTGTGGTGTGTGTGTGTGTGTGTGTGTGTGTGTGTGTGTGTGTGTGTGTGTGTGTGTGTGTGTGTGTGTGTGTGTGTGTGTGTGTGTTGTGTGTGTGTGTGTGTGTGTGTGGTGTGTGTGTGTGTGTGTGTGTGTGTGTGTGTGTGTGTGTGTGTGTGTGTGTGTTCAGGTGTGAATCTGCTGGTGGGGACAGAGAACGGTCTTATGCTGCTTGACCGAAGTGGACAGGGAAAAGTGTACAACCTCATCACCAGGCGCCGCTTCCTGCAGATGGATGTGCTGGAGGGGCTCAATGTCCTGGTCACCATATCCGGTAGGTCTGACACACACACACACACACACACACACAGTGGATGCGCATATGCAAGTGTATCCTCATACACACACCCGGATACTTCTCCAATGTATCTGAGTGAAGATTGCGCCGGTGATGATGGCTGCCGTGTCTTTTGCTCCTCTCCAACTATTCCAATTACTTGTATATAGACTCTTATTGCACTATTTCTATCCTATTTTATTTGTATTTACTTGCACTATTTTATCTGTTTTATTGTGTTGCACTGTTGGAGGAGCCTGTGAGCTAAGATTTCATTGTCATATAACTACAATGTAGCTATGTACAAATGACAATAAAAGCCTTGAGTGAGATTGTAGCTCATATCAGATTTGTAATATGCATATACATGTTAGGAAAGTTGTGACGATATGTATGACAAGTATTGGAGTAGCCTCATTGCATCATATGTGTTTAAAACATTGATGGTTTGTTAATAATTCAATATTGTGAGAATTGTGCTTCTTCCATTCAGTCACAATGGCCTGGTAATCTGCCATTGTGTGCTGTTTGCACGCTAATATTTTCCTAATATATTTGAGGTTTTAAGGACTTGATTCCTCTAAAGTTGATCTAATTTCTCTTCCTCATTTTGTCTTCCCCTCTCAGGGAAAAAGAACAAGTTGCGTGTCTACTACCTGTCCTGGCTGAGGAACAGAATACTACACAACGACCCTGAAGTAGAAAAGAAGCAGGGCTGGATTACAGTGGGGGAACTGGAGGGCTGTGTGCATTATAAAGTTGGTAAGGATCTGTGTTACTGTGTGTATATCGTGAATGAATATATAAATAGAATTAGGCTTGCTAAGGCGGATTTCATTCTTACGTGGCCTGAGCTTAAATGTTCTTTAGTTTTGAAACAATCCCTAACCAGCTAAGAAATGCTCAAAATGGAAGGAGAATGAGTAAATATTGTATTTTCAGCCACAGATGCAGCTACAGAATTCACACAAATAAGCAAACCAAGTTGTGGCGTTCTTACTGAATGCAGTAAACTTTGGTATACAGTAGCTTTGAGAATAGTTTGTAATTGTTTAACTCCAAGATCTCTACAAGTCACTCAGATCTGGAGCCAATTAAATCACGTCTAGCAGCTAAGCTAATTTGCTTTACTCTCCAAAGATATGGACTTTTTTATTTGTATATCAACTGTAAATAATTTACGGTTATACCAACCACAGGTCTTTCCCTGGCGCTCATATTATTCCCAAAGTAGAAAAGTTCAGCAGTTCCCGTTGGCCTCTGATTATCTCTCTATGTTCTGTTTCCAGTCAAATATGAGAGGATTAAGTTCCTGGTGATTGCTCAGAAGAACGCTGTGGAAATCTATGCCTGGGCTCCTAAACCCTACCACAAGTTCATGGCCTTTAAGGTACAACAATGCACATTATATGTAGAGAATGCAGAATGAATATATTGCATGACTACAGGCACGGCATCTCACCATTTCCTCTTCTTTTTCTCCCTGCCGCCATTTTAGTCATTCACTGAACTGCAGCACCGTCCCCAGCTGGTCGACCTGACGGTGGAGGAAGGTCAGAGGTTGAAGGTCATCTATGGTTCCAGTGTGGGCTTCCATGTCATCGACGTGGACTCGGGCAACCCTTACGACATCTACATCCCCTCACATGTGAGAACAAGACTGTGCTTATAAATGTCTGTAAATCTTCAATAACACGTCCAATGCATTTGAATGAAGAACAACACACATGATGTAAGGCAAAGGAGAGCAGGATTTATTTTCTCTCCTTCCTAAAATATGACCTGCTTATCCAAGGTCAGCCATGACTCACACGCTGTCTCATGAAGATTGGCTTTCACATATACAATGTATCTTTCTTGACGAATCACCTCTTTGATTGATCTGCTGTCTCTTTTATCAGAGGCTTTTGCTAAATACGACAGTACCCAGTATGAAGCTGAAATGACTGAATAACTAGAAATGTAGTAAGTGGTAGCTGCTACAACATTTCCTGTTGCAACAAAGTCCTCCAAAAAGCATTCAAGTGAAGTAGTGAGCGTCTTCTTTCAGCATAGCTCTTCCCTTAGCAGCATGCAGTCAGATATCAATTCTAGTCGTCACTCAATCACTCATGGGAGCTCGATACACCATCAGTAGTTGTCCATGCGCGTGCTTGAATGCAAATCAGTTTTGGTACTTGCATGCAGATTACTTCGTTCCGGGGTTGCTTTACTAATCGTATGCTTTTAACCAAATTCAATCTAAACACAGTTAGGCTGCATTTTTTATTTGGTGGCAAGATTTCAGGACATTTACCGCACCAAATACAGATATGAAGACACGCAATTGAAGTCAGTTGAGTTCATGCTTTACAGTGATTGCACAACAAGCCTTTTCATTAGAGCATTCCTCTTGAAGCGATTGTCTTTCACAATTGTTGCCTTTAATCTTCCTCTCTCTCTCCTTCCCTGCCAACTTCTCCTCTCTACAGTGTGCCAAACAGATGAAGGTGACATCCTGCCATCCACCCTTTAGACTAGATCAATAGATCTTTAGTAAAAAACCCGTAGTGGATGCACAGGAGTGCTACATGTGTCTGTGCAGTACAGTTTATTAGAGTAGTGATTCATGGATAATTTAGCTAGAAACAGGTTGCATTAATAAATTCATCTAACCCACAGGAGACTTCACAAGCTAATGAAAAGATGTTAAGTGCAATAAGATAAATGTTTGGTCATGCTGGAACCACAACACAAAATTGAAGTATTAAAATACAATTCCAGTATTTCTGTAATTACATTTTTAAATGTGTGTGGTATGCGGTCATATGTTTATCACAAGTTGACAATATTCTAAAAGCTTTTCTTGACACTCATCAGCCAACAAAACCATAGTATGATGTGGTGTGTCGTTCCAATTGGCATTTTGTGTAAATGCAGTTTCTTGTGGGTTTAGAGGACTTTTTTCATCACCTTGTCAGTCTTTCATTTAACCTTTTGTGAGCCGCCTGTTTGGGTAAAGTGCACAGATTCGAGCCATGTCTGTGTTTTGTTATTGATCCCAACTCTTCTGATGTTATTCTTGTTAATAATGCTATATTGTGTCGGTCCAAAAAAAAAAAACAGCCTGTCAAATCTGTTGCATTAAATGCCCATCAGGAAACAGCTGTAACACTTTAATCCACTGTAGATTATGATTACATTTGACAGATTATATTAAAGCCTATGAAATGTTCACTGTGTGTGTCTGCAACAGATCCAGAGCCAGGTGACGCCCCATTCCATCGTGGTGCTCCCAAAGACCGATGGGATGGAGATGCTGCTGTGTTACGAGGACGAAGGCGTCTACGTCAACACCTACGGGCGAATCACCAAGGACGTGGTGCTACAGTGGGGAGAGATGCCCACCTCTGTTGGTACGTCTCACATCATACAATTTTAATGTCTGTTTAAGTGGTTAAAATAGATTTCTATCATCACTGGAGTCTTTAAAACATCATAGAGAAACACCCGGTTCGAAGATATAAATAAAAAATGACTTAGAGGCTTAAATAACTTTATTGATGTATGCTAGTACCCACTTCAGTGCCGTGTGTTGAAATGCAGATCAGAAGTATGTGAACGATCTGAGAACTGAGCTTATGCGGGTTTATTTAAGGTTTAATTGCATTCAAAAATCAGTTCATAACATCTGCTTTCACAGGAAGGCTTCAAGAGAAGGAAGAAGAAAGATGCGTTGGGGTGGGGGGGGGGGGGCAAGGGTAAAAGATTCAGAAGGATGGAAAATGGATAGATTATCAAAAGTAAATGTAAAACGCATAGTCACAAGGGAAAGAAAGAAAGAGGGGGAAACCAAGAGATTGAAAGACCAACAAAGAAATGTATAACTGCATATCCTCCAGTAGGGAAGTGCTTTACTGCCCTCATGTGGCACACAGTGGTGTAACACTAAAGCTACCACGATTTAGGACTGAGTCCACATTTTTACATTATGCTTTTGGATGTTCTTATCTCCTTTTGACCTGAATAATAAAGATTCTGTTCACTGATGAGTCTTTTGTGTTTTCTCTTTTCCAGCCTATATCCACTCTAATCAGATTATGGGCTGGGGGGAGAAAGCCATAGAGATCCGCTCTGTGGAGACAGGTCATCTGGACGGAGTCTTTATGCACAAGAGAGCCCAGAGACTCAAATTCCTGTGTGAGCGGAACGACAAGGTGAATAAAACACACTCTTTGATTCTCAGTTATTCTTATCCGGTGTTTTGATTGATCATTGAAACACTGATTGAGAACATGAAGTTGGTATTTTGGTTCTTTGAGCCTTTTTAAGATTAAAAAGGCTCAAAGAACCAAAAAGAAAGTTGTAATGCTATGCCAGGTACATTTTCAAGTCCAAATTAGGCAGCAGGTAATATCCATTTCATTTGTATGGGTAGATCCTTGATACAACTCAGTCTAATAATATATTTTCCTTCGTCTTGATATGCACTTATGTGTGAGAAATAAGAAACAACACACAGACATGTGCATTGTCAAAAGTCTTTACCATGCGAGGAATATAATCATGTTATGTATAATTTAAATGTCCCATGTTATGCTTTTCCGGTTATTACCCGTCTCCTTGTGTGTTATGTAGCTTTTTCTGCATGTAAACGGTCTGCAGAGTCAAACCCTCAAAGTACACCCTGTAGTGTACAACTCTAACACAGAAAAGCCCCAGAACGCCTCGTTGGAGATTCCTCTTTTTCTTCCTGAGTACAGTGACGTGCCCATACCCAAATGGACCCATTGGTCCAAATGGACCAATCCGTAGAGCCGTTACGTTACATCCGCGGAGCCGTTACGTTAATTCCGTGGATTGGTCCAAATTGACCAATCCGCGGACTTCCTCACACACACTCACTCAATCTTTTCTCAGCTGCAGCTCCGCCGATTTCTCCTCCCTGAGACGGCGGGACGCGGCGAGGCTGTGAGTCGGTGTGTGAGCACACACACAAACTCCCAGCCAGGCTGCGGGTGTGTGTGTGTTCGGGCTGGGTTTTGCTGTGTCTCATAGGGAGATGGGGGGGGGGGGGCAGGAGCTCCAACAAGCCGTTTAGGACAGAGAGTGAACACACATACTATACAGAGGTGCTGTATGAGAAACCAATGCGATTTTGGAAAATTGCACAATGTAAATCTATTTGAGTAGACCTCAACAATGGAATTATGACCAGTAGAAATGGCCATGACATGGGACCTTTAAAGGTTCATTGTAATCCTGGTAGCATTGTTTTATTACATTTGTGAGCTCGATGCAACATCATTTCAGTCTGCTGCTTGAAGTAGTCAAAACGTGTTTGGTATATTTTGCGTATGTAATGTTAAACAGTCCGAAAGAACCACAAAGCAAGCTTTTAATGCTATGTCAGGTAGAAAATGTTCAAGTCCAAATAAGGTAGCAGGTAATATACATCGGTTAGATCCTATATACATCTAAGTATTTCCAAATGTGAGCAGATTTGCAAAAGGAAACAAAAACAAATGATTTAAATACATAGTGTATACTGTACATGCTGTATATTGCTTGCCCCCAGTTTGTCAAATCTGACAACTATGTTAGACTTAATTTACCTTTCCAGAGAAGCATATTATTTGCTCTTTGCAGATATGGAAATGCTTATATTAAGAATTGTTTTCAGTTTTTAATATTATCTTTCTCTCTGCAGGTATTCTTCGCATCGGTGCGTTCGGGAGGTAGCAGCCAAGTCTTCTTCATGACCCTCAACAGAAACACCATGATGAATTGGTGATGCCCCCCCCCATCCACTCTGCCTCACTCTCCCATTGGCCTGCCCGGCGACTACCAGTTGTCCCACGGCACATCTCACAACAACAAAAAACAGACTGACCGAGAGGCCACAGTGAACTCTTTTAACACTGAAGTGACTAGAATCGCTTAGAGAAAAAAAAAGTAATCGTAGAGCAAAAACAACAGAGACATGTTCTAAATGAAGAGACATGTTACCCTAGATTATTTTGGGTTATGCAGAAGCCATCGTTACTCAACTGACTGGCAAACTGGTGCCACTGACTCTCCAAATATCCTCTGTCTGTGTCTGTAAGTCTTCCATTTGTGTCTGTGTCTTTTCTCCAAACAAACCTCTTCATTACAGCAGCTGGAGAAATACACTTTACACCATTCCTCCCTTCGTCCCCACTTCTTTACACTCCTCCCGCAATCGATTTAGTCCTCACTTTTTTGAGTCCTTTTGACACCCATGTCTTCCATTTTCCACACTTCCTATCTGCCATGTGTGGGCTCATTCCTGGAGATCTTACACCTCAGAGGTCGGGGGAATAGATAAATAGGATTTAATATAAATTCAAATATAGTGAATATGACAGTTTGTGCAGTGAGGGCAGCTGAGGGATGACAAATCTACTCTGGATGTTAGCGGTGAAAAGCAGACAGCATGATTGATTTTCTTACTCCTTTGTCACTCCCCTCCGCCTCCTCTTCTTCCTCCTCGCCGTCTTTTCAGGCCATGATGAGTAAATTGTAATTTAGTGTTCGATCGCATCTCGCTGATAGAGATGCGGTGAGACAATCTGCTGTCATAGGCGGGTGGTCACAGTATGCAAAGATGATGTCCGTGTCCCTTTAAAAAGAAATCACCGGTCCATCCTGTTTTACTATTTCCTTCTTCCTGTCACCCCCCATCTCCATCAATGTCATCCCCCCTAGTTTCACAATGTTGTTAAACTCTGAAGGTGCTGCATCAAAACTACTGTAATATTAAATGAACAATGATAGCGTCATTCTTTTTATTTCAGTTCTTTTTCTTTTTCTGTGGCTAAGTCAGTCGGTTTTTGAAGTGTGATCAAATGAATAGCACATCCGTGTTTCTGAAATCAGGAGTGTATGTTGGTGTGTGTTTGTGAGTGTGTGCATAAATGTATGTGTGTGTTTGACTTGATGTTGAAACGAGTCCCATTCAGATCAAGGTTGGATATTGACATCAATGGCCAGAAAAAGAGTCATAAATTCAGTCTCTGTACGTGAACTTTTTCTGTTTCCTTTGGCTACTCACAAACACAGCCATGCTGCTGTAGGGAATATGAAGATGCTTATCCTGAATACAACCTCATCAGGATATGAGCAACAATCCCCAGTACTGTGTGCATGTGAAAGATCTAATTGTTGAAAGCTGTGGCGTCCTTTTGAATCATGCTCTTCCCTGATTGGTTCTTCTGATTTTGGCTCCTACCTGTTTGTACAGTGCCTAGCATGATGTAAGCAAAACAAAAAATGGAGGCCAAAAGATTATCGCTTGAGTTATAATTAATAATTGTATTGCCTTTACAGTTCATTTACACTGGGTTTGTGTGTGTTATTGGCTAACCTTAACACGTTACTGATGGTATGTGTCTCTTCTGAAGGAGATGTTAACACATTTAAGACTTAATTTATTCTTTGAAAGGAGTAACTGCATATGGTACGATAAAAACATGTAATTTCTGAAAGTGTAGCTCAATCATTTATGCATACTGTATTAGATGTATAACACTAGGGCCGACTCTATAGAGGTATCCCTCTATATTGGAGAAAAGTACCTGCTTACTCCTTAAAAAAACGTAAAGTGACACAAAAACTATACTCATTCCCACAAGTTATTTTCTGTTAATAATTTTTAAAATGAAGTTATATGACTTTTACATATCCACACGGTAGCTGTTCCTGTGCAGCTGCAAGTTAGGTTCACCAAACTGTGTTATGGGTAGCAGGCTAACATTTGAGCAATAAAGAGCCGAGCTGAACAAAAGTGTGTGTGTGTGTGTGTGTGTGTGTGTGTGTGTGTGTGTGTGTGTGTGTGTGTGTGTGTGTGTGTGTGTGTGTGTGTGTGTGTGTGTGTGTGTGTGTGTGTGTGTGTGTGTGTGTGTGTGTGTGTGTATGTGTGTGTGTGTGTGTGTGTGAGTGGTGTGAGTGAGTGGTGTGTGTGTGTGTGTGTGGGTGTGTGTGTGTGTGTGTGTGTGTGTGTGTGTGTGTGTGTGTGTGTGTGTGTGTGTGTACACTGAGGACTCTCCTTTCAAAGATGAAACCACTGTATTCTTTGCTTTGTTTATTTCTTGTTTTCTTTGTTTTGAAAGAGCATTACTAATGTCCTGTTTTGGGATGTATTTGTTTTGTGAAAGAGATGCTGTATGAGAGAAATAAATTAAACTAGAGCATTATGTTTACGCAGTTGTATTTTCTTTGGATGTGTTTTGCAACTGTGCGCTCCTTTTTATCAGCTTCGGCCCTCAGACTTTGTCCATCCCTCAAGTATATCATTAACAGCAGCTTTGTGTGTGTCTTAGGGAGAGAGTGTCCAAATGTCAATATTTCTACCAAATGTGCTATTTGGCAGTCATTTTGCACTCCATTATAATTTGCACTATACAGTATTATTATTATTGTTGTCCATCGTTTACCAGTATGCAACACCACAAAGCCTGAAACCAGTGTTTCCCAAAAATAGAATCCAGATGGTCTCACTGTTTGGTCACTTTCACTCTAATGGTATTGCTTCCTTGCAATAATAACATGTGTGTTTGTGTATGGAAGATGATTTTGTTGTGTGGGACTTATTTCAGCACTTTAGATCTATGTGTGTGTATCTATACTGTATGTGTGCACGCATGTGTTGGTCGATTAGAGAGTGGACACAGCGTGATTGAGCATGCAGCTTTCATTGATCATTACCAGCCTGGCTGACACTCTGGACCCACCATGGAGTCTGGAAAGGTAAGACGATTCTTGACATAAGTACTCTTTACATGTATTCCATAAAATGCATATATATTCTTCCTATTCATTTGAAATCAGGTAGGCAAAATGTGCGTGCAGGCGGCTGATCTCACCATATTGCTGACATTTGAACCTTGAGGCTCTCAGAGGATTACATTTACCACCGAGACCTGAGGAAAACAACCAGCTCTTTATTCATAGTTGTGTGTTTGCGTTATTATATAGGAGATTGTAATGAATTAATACTTATGACTCTGCCATGAGAATATCAAAGGAATATATAACACAAGCTTAGTGTTTAATCTGGGCATTATGTAACTTTTATATATGAGAATTATTATGATTCTGGGATTCTTGATGGTAAATAAAGCGCTAGATGCATCTATCGATTAAGTATTTTTTACTTATATGCACTTTTGTTTGTGACCGTTAACTTCTGACTCACGCTCTTGCTTGTGTGCATGTTACATAGTGTGTTTGTTCGTGCATTCATGTGTGTGTGTTCTTATCTCAATGGTTCCTCTGTTCCTGCAGCAGCTAACAGGCACATTGGCTCTGGCTGTGTTCACTGCAGCTCTTGGGTCCCTGCAGTATGGATACAGTCTTGGAGTTATCAACGCACCCCAGAAGGTAGGCTCCACTGTCACACAGGCTTGGCTCCCTTATGGTAGATGGATTTACCATCGAATTGCATGCAAATCTCGAGGTATGAACAAACGTATCATCTATGTAAACACTTTTCTGCAGCACTGGATATGCATGTCCTACTCTCGGAGACCATGGAACAGAAATGATTGACTGATTGTCTAGAAAAGCAACTTATCCCAAAACGTTTTCTTGCCTGGCCATTAGGTATTTGTTTCATCAGAAGTTTTGCAAGCTGTCCATTATTCTCAGGCCAGTAATGAGTAGGACTTTGCCTCTGACAGACAAGTCATAATGTCTCTCTGCTGCACGCTGCTGGCAACATTTTATTGTGTTTCTTATCATGTTTCATAAGGCAATTTCCTAACATGAAGTTATATGGCAATAAAGTACACTTTCTAAAGTAGCACAGAACGCATAAGCCTAACACTGGCTCTAAGGAGGTCATTTTGCATTCTTATGTTACCTGACGGCCACCTTAGTTCTCCTATTGACTTGTTAAACTGCAGTAATGGCAGCTACCGCCTGAATATTGTTTCCCCTTAAGCAGTGTTATAATAAGGATGGCACCTAAAAGAGGCATATTTCCTGAAAGATATCATGACAGAATGAGCAGAGTGGTCATTAGTTGGCATGCTAGATGCTGCAAAATCCTCCACACTGTCCTTTTAAATATCATCTTCTTTATTTAAATGTGAGGTTGCATAGTGAATGTTGCTACTATGCATATTTATAAATGACATTTTATCAGAATGGTTTTTGTGTTTGCATTTTCATCTGTCTTTGTGCATATTCCAGTGTAATTGTACCTATTGATGTCCCCTAAATATATCCGTGTCATAGGTAATTGAAAATTATTATGGACGTACTCTGGGGGTGTGGTCAGAGAGGGCCGCGGTCCTCTCAGAAAACAGCACTGAAGAAGAAGAGTACCCAGAGGCGGGACGACACCCTGCCGTGATCATGTATTGGTCACTGTCGGTGGCAATCTTCTCCATCGGAGGCATGTTATCATCCTTCCTGGTGGGATATGTGGGAGACCTGAGAGGGAGGTGAGAAAGGATAAATAAATAATATGGACACACTAAATGAAAAGATGAAAGTGGTGGAGAAAAAAAGGTAAAATAATGAATTATAGAGTGATTAGAGTAATCAGAGGCAAATGTTATCTTGAAAATACTTTTAAAAAGGTTCAAAATGAACCAGCATCATTAAGGAAATTTGCCATGCTGCAAATATAATAATAATAATAATAAATTGTATTTCAATAGTGCTTTTCTTGAATCCAAAGACGCTTATATTATACATATCTATAAACTGTCTTTTTGTTTTGCAGGGTAAAGGGCATGTTGATGGTGAATGTACTTGCAGTAGCAGCAGGATTGCTGATGGGTCTTTGCAAGATGTGGAAACCTCACATCATGGTCATCTCCGGCCGTGCTGTTATGGGCTTTTACTGTGGTACAGCAAATCACACATAGAATCCTCAAATTGATACTCACATCATTAATTTGGATATCCCACTGTCTATAGGTTATATAAAAGGAAATTAACAACTGTTATATTGTCATATATCCAACAGTGAATGTTTGTTTAAAGTCCTCATGATGGGTATCTTTCAGGGTTGACATCCGGGCTAGTGCCTATGTACATTGGAGAGATTGCACCTAAGGCTTACAGAGGGGCTCTGGGGACATTACACCAGCTGGCTATAGTCATTGGCATCCTAGTCAGCCAGGTGAGTGAATGAATGAATGAAAACTTTATTACAGACTCAGGGTCCAGATACAAGACATTACATATAATAAATTACATACACAGCATAATAAGAATTCATAGTTTAAGAATAATTTAAATCAGTGTCCTACAAAGAGACAACTATACCAATGTCTCCACAGCTGCGATTGGTAGCGTGTACTAAACCTTATGTTCGATAAGGCCAAGAGGATTTCATTATCAGAGTCATTAAGCCGGCAAATACATTTATACATAAGATTTCTTAAAACAGCTTGTAGAGTATTGACTCCTGCAGCCACAAACATTTCACTTGCACTAGACCATCGAGGTCTCTTCAGCAATATTCTCATGGCATCATTATAAGCTACTTGAAGTTTCCGTAAACTTGCTGTTCTGTAGTTTGACCACAGATGTGCCGTATAGAGCGGTGTGCAATATGCTCTGAACAGAGACATCTTCACTCCATCTGTACATGCACCAAACTTACGTAGGAGAATGTTTGCTTGTGCATACATCATGCGGCATTGCCTATAAATATCTTCATCTGTCATTTGTTCTGTAATAAAGTGTCCAAGATATTTTAACTTATTACAGACACTAAGATTAATATCAGACAATTTAAAATCAGGAAATTGAAGACATTTATCCTCTTTGGTTCTAAAGATCATGACAGCACTCTTACTGGCGTTGTATTTGATGTCATGTTCCACACCATACACAGAACAAACAGCAAGAAGCTGCTGAAGACCAGCGCTAGATGGACTCAGCACAACAAGATCATTTGCATTCATAATATGGTTCACTAGAGCAGTGGTTCCCAAACTTTTTGTGCCCAAGGCACACCAAAGGACAAGTAAAAATCTCAAGGCACACCTATTGTGCAAAATAGCCCTTATAACACGTGTTATCACTCATATCATGTAAAATATCTGTAAATGTGCATAATTATTTACTAATGCCAAATAAAATGTGACAAAGACAACTATATTACTCGTGAAATATTTATTAACGAAATATTTCAGAAATTAATTTGAAACTTTATCAAATTAGGCTTCATCAAAGCAGCAACACACTCATTTAAACCAGACGGGTCACAACATTAAAAATGAGGCAAAGGAAACTCAGCAGAAATTCAGCACAGAGAACTGTCAATGCAAGGAAGCTGCATTGTCCATGGTCCTGAACTACAAATTATAAATGTAACATTTCAGCAATCAGCATTGAAACATGTGCTATTGTAAATATTTTTGCCGATTTACAAATTAGTGAGATACATGTGCCCGTCGGGGCGCGCAGAATTTTTTTAATCCTTGGTGGGGAGAGGGCCACTCACAAGTCCTGTTCAACAGAGAGCCGTGACCTCCTGTTGTTCTTCATGTAAATCAGAGTAGAGAACGCCAACTCCAGAGATGGGGTCGTTACTAAAAAATTGTAATATATTACACTATTTCGTTACTATCTACATAAAGTAACTAGTTACTTTACTCGCCGAGCACGTACGAACTGCGCATGCGTGAGTGGCAATAACTTTCCTTACCAGCAGGCGGCGGTAGTGTGTATTTGTCATTCAAAACAGGCAACAACCGGAAGTCAGAGAAGAAGAACAGACGTGATATAAACAAACAACAAATAGCGTGGGTGGTAGCTT